CCCCAATCATAACGATCAGGTGTAGAGAAATCACCTACGATTGAATGCGATTTAGTGTCAATCTTTGTTTTCTTATCCTTCCCTGACAAAGCCAACTCTATGAGGTAGATCAATGCCAACTTCACTCTATCATCATCATCACCCTCGAAATTGAAAAAATTATTTTCTATCTCAGCTACAATGATGGACCTTTTATCTTCAAAATACGTTCTCCGAAGTTTATGACTTAATTTGGTCCCACTCGAACAACTTCCACGATGCCACTATACCCAATTACCATATCGAACTCGTTCCTTGAAAAAGACACACCACTTGTTCTACCATAAAGCAAATACAATCGTTATTCCTCTATTCCACCTTCCTCAATAAAAAAATATAGACCAACTGCTCATTAAATGTAATATATACAATCTATGATCCAAAGCGTATTTTACTGAACATTAATAGTTGAGCATGACTTAACATATCCTTGATATTCTTAATTGTCGTCCCGAAGTGAGATAGCTAGAAAGCATACTTGAGATCGAAAATGATCTGATGGCTTTATTTTATACGAATGATTTGATGACGATTCCATATTGAGTATACAACTTTTAACACCCACAGAAACATCATCATTCACCATATCACAATTAAACATCATAAGTTCAAATGAATTGAAATAAACCAAAAGAGTCAAATGAAAACAAAAAAGATGGAACACCAATGATTATTATTTAACATTTTATATTCTTTATCGCAATATCTTGTAATAGCTTGCAGTACTTGCAATGCCCAACCAACAAACCTTGAAATCACAAGCTCAAACCCATCAAATATCACTAATATGTTCTAAATGCATTGAAAGAGTTTAAGCAATACCAAAAAAAAAAAAAACGACTTCTAACATTCTGACTTCTTTGTTTTGCAACTTATCCTAATGCCAAAATCGAACAACCCTGAAAATGCAAATTCTAATCCATTGAATAGTAGGAATATGTTCCAAATAAATCAAAATAGTCAAAGTAAAACAAAAATATGAAAGGCAAACCACCCTTTTACATTCCTTTTAAATCAAATAGTGAACTGAAAAATTCAAAAGAAGAAAACACACAAGTTACAAAGATGAAAACGCTTAGATGAATAATAAAATTATAATTAAAACTAAGAACAAAGAAAGAATAGTTGAAGAAACTAAAATAGTGGTCGGTTAAGTTATCAAGTAAGAACGTACTTGAACGGAGCTCGCCGTCATTGCTTGTCCACCAGAGTTCGTCGTTGTTCGCGTGTCCTATAAGGAAGAGATTTTGCCGATTCCGCAATTTGCATTATCGTTGTTTGACCACTGGAGTCCGTCGTTGTTCGCTGCCTTAGTCACCGAAAAAAATGGAAGTTCAGTTGCTGAAATAATTGGAAGCTCAATCACCAGAATAAAGGTGTCGATGTGCGTGGGAGACTTTTTTGCATGAGAATGTCTCAAATGGGAGGGGGGTGGAGCAGGATTTCAATTTGGGAAAAAATTTTAGAAGGGTAATAAAGACTTTTCAACCCTAAAAAGTTCTACTACCCTTTAAATGAAAAAGTGGTACTCAATTTCTTTAAGCCTATTAAAGTCGTCCAACTTTTGGCAATTTCCCGAGGAGGAAGAGTTCATGTTATGTCGATGTTAATAAAAAAAAGTAGTATAAAAGTAATATATTTTGTCACATAATCACAAGTTTACAACGTACTAAGTAAATAATAGTCATATCAATCTTTTATGTTGGTTGATTTCAAAGACCATTTAAAACAATTTTTTAAATTGGAGGAACTGAAAGTATCTATTTTGAAACCTTAAGGAATAATTAGAGTTTTTGGACTGACTAACCCTTTTTCTCAAGTCCACTAATATATATCACTACTTTAGAAACCTATGTTTTCTAACCATTTGATAAAATCATCAAATAAATCAAATGACCATGATTGTCCCTCCACTTAAGTTAACTTAAATTTTTACTTTCCCTCCCTTTTTTTTCATTTGGAATCTTCTCAGGCATTCTCTCTCTTTCTTTTTTTTTTCAAAGTTCTCTCCTTTTATTTCTTCACATTCTTCATCTTCTTCTTTCTCCCTCATCTCTCTCCCAGTTTCCTTCTCTCTCTTCTCTCTCTCCTTCTCTTTTCAAATTTTACATACGGATTTCAAACTTCTCTATTTTCTCCTCCAGAATTTTATGGATTTCAAATTTTCCCTCCCTATTTTTCTAGATTTTTCCCTCCCTCTCTCCATTTCGCATTTTTTCTTATTTCGCATGAATCAACGAAAAAACTTTAAGTATTCTTTCACCAACGAATTAGGCTATTTGGGTTCTGTAAATAAGGAACTTCATTTATTGTGGGAGAACTGGAGCTTGGTTGTGAGAGAAAATCAAAGCGAGACGAGAAAAGAGAGAGAGAAAGAGAGAGTTAGCTAGAGACCGAGAGCAAAGAGAGAGAGAGCAAAGTGAGAAAGAGAGCGAGGGAGAAAATGAATCCCAATTTTTTTAATTTTGATCTTGATCGGAAGAGATTAAGGAATCTCGATTTCAAAACGTTGAATTACTTTTTAAAAATTCAATCATTAAATAAATTTATAGAGTGAATAGTTTCACAAGTTTTGAAATAGAATATCTTTTAATAAAAAAATAATAAATTTGATTAGTTTAAATGAAATCTTTAACCATATTAAATCAATCGGATTTAATTAAATAAATAAATTTTGAAATAATTTGGTCAAATTTAAGTTTGAAATATTAGCAAATAATCAAGATCTCTAAGATTTCTCGCTCATTCATTCTCGTTAATTTTTATCATAAATGGTATTCAAATTTAAAATTTAATCCAAATTTGTTTCTTCAATTTCCTCTATTATCTCCTAGAATTTTTGTAGAAGTTTCAATTTAAAATTTAATTCTCATTTAATCTCTCATCCAAGACGTTATCTCTCATCTATCCTTCTCTCTACGAATTTCTTATCTCTCCCTCTCTCATAGTTTTCTTTAATAGTAGACTGCAGGTTCATATGGAAATTTTTTTTTCAATTAATGGGTTTTTTTAAAACTAAATATCAATGAGATTTCAAATTTATTAAAAATTAAATTTAAAAGATTTGCTTCGAGACGACTAAAAATGGTATTTATTTTGTAATTTGTAAATTTAAAAAGGAAAAACAAAATCCTAACATTTTGGAATTGGATTCCTTAATCTCCGCCCTAATTGAAAGCAGTAACAAAATTAAAAAAAATCGAGATTTTTTCTCTCTCTTCTCGTTCTCTTTCTCTCTCCTCTCCCTCTTTTCTCTCTCTCTTCTCTCTCTTCACTCTCTTCAATTTCTCTCTTATTTCTCCACTCTCGTTTTGATTTTCTCCCACAACCAATAAAAAAAATAAGTTACATAGGTACAGATGACTCAAATAGCCTATCTCGTTGGCCAAAGAATACTTAAAGTTTAGTTTGAAAATCCATAAAATTCTGAAAAACTCGAAGAAAGAAAGAAAAGAAAAGTTTGAAATCCGTAAAAATCGAAAAAAGAGAGGGAAGAGAGAGAAGGAAACGGGAGAGAGAAGAAGATGAAGAAAGTGAAGAAGAGAGACAATACATGAGATAGTGGAGGGACAGATATAGTTGATTTGATGAGTAAATGGTAGTGATATATTTCAAAGTGGGCAAAGGATCAAAAGTCCAAAAACCTTAAAGATTAGATAAACATCGAAGGCAGAATTCAAAGTACTGGGCACAGAAGCCGACGAAGCGCTGAAGCAGTCCGGACTCCAGCGGATAATAAGGCGACGAAGAAATGAAGAGAAGAAGACAAAGAAGAAAGAAGAAGAAACAGAAGAGCGATGAAGAACGGGAAAAAAAATACCCAACATCCTAAAAACCTACAGTCCTAATGATTCTTTAATATTTATTTATTAAATAAAATATTTTTTTTATGTTATATCTTTGGTCGGTCAATCAATTTTTAGGATTTTATGGGCACCGACCAATTTCTCGAATATGTTTGTTCACCCTATAATTTAGTAGATAAGGTACTTATTATTGTTCTATTAGTAGTTTCATCTTCATCCTGCAGAGATTCATTTAATAAAATATAGATGAAAATACCGGTGTCGTAGACAAGCAAATGTGGTGCTGCTTCTTTTTCTTTTTAATAAATTGAAAAGTTGTAAAAAAATAAGACCTAAATTGAGATAAGCTATGTTCGGATTGGCATTTGAATTATAATTTAGTCATCGAAATATTTAAGAATGTTGAAGAGTTGTGTTTCTATATCCAATTTCGGTTCTTCTACCTTTATAATTGTGTATCAAGTAACATTAAGAAATTCCAATTAGCGTGATCAGAGTAAAATAGGGTTAATTTTTTTTAGTATAACATGTGAGGGTATGAGATCGAACTCATAATCTTTTAGTTGAAAATATATACAAATTACGGTTGAGCTAGACTCGCTTTGCCATAAAATAAAATTACATTAAAAATTATACGTATTCAAACCTAGTTAATAAATATTTATTTATCTAATTAATACATGACTACATGATAGAATATTCAGAAACTAAATAGTCATTAGGTGTCGTTTCCAACTAAATTTAAATTTTTTTAATTTTGCTTTTAAAAATTATAATGACATAATTTGTTCTGCAACAAAAACAAAAAAACAAGGCACACCTGTAGTACTAAAAAGAAAAAATTCCTAATAAAATTAGTGTATTAAATAAAATTAGCAAAGCAAAAATCACATGCGTTGGGCTAAAAAGGTAAATTCCCATAGCATTTCAACTGTTAAAATAGGTTTGTGAAACTGGTTAGTCAAGATTATGAAAAATAAAAGGTCAATGAAGAAATTAGCCTTTAAAAATGTGTATATTATATAATAAAAAAATTAAAAAAAAAAAACCTAATCCACGTACAAGAGCCTATGATCAAGACTGTCAACAGATGAAAAAATAGCCTTTAATAAAATAAAAAAATGCACACAAGAGCGAGAGCCTAATAAACCTGTAGTCAAAACAAGCCCCTCCTCAATGGTCAGTTTTTATATATTCATGGAATTATTATTCCCAACAGAATTTATAAGCTGCAATATTTGCAACAGCTATGAGTAATTAACAACTAACTTTGTTTCTAATAGAACACTGAGCTTTTCATTAGCAGTAAAAACATGATAATGATATACTAACAAATAAATTACAGTCGCCTTCTCTTCTCTTCTCTTCTCTTCTCTTCTCTTCTCTTCTCTTCTCTTCTCTTCTTTACAACAGACTGATTTTGAGGGCATTCCACATTATTGTTTTGTTAGACACTTGATTCAAGTTTCCACCTCTTGAGCTACCTGCTTTTCATCCTTCTCGGCATCCGCATCATCTTCTTCATCTGCCAGTTTGGTGAGCTCTTCTTGGATCATTAGTTTTATCGACGACTTTTGTGCGGTGAGATCCATCTTGAATTTCCAAGCTGCGAATTCCACAAGCAGATTCAGATTATCTCTGTCATCTTAATGGGGCAGGTTTGAAAATGGTTTCTAATATCCTTAAAGTTGATTTTTACTAGATGTTTTTTAAACTTTTTTTTTTTTGGCAACTTATAAAGAATATTGTCGATCTGAACCTAACTCAACTAATTACAACATATATCCTCAACTTGAAAGTTCAAGTTCGAATCTGCATCCCTATTGAAAAGAGACATAAACCTACTGGAACACTTACCTGGTGTTCCATTATCCTTCAGAAAATGTAATTAAAAAGTGTGTTGCGTTTAAAAATACTCCTCACAAAAGCAAATCTCAAACTTCAAAACCAAACAAATTTATTGATTTTCTTCTCTAGATCTTTCATTAGTCAATAGAAAGTACAATCATTTCTACTATTTATTTTTAGACATATCTCAATTGGAGGGGAATAAGAAATTAAGGCCCAGTAACAAATTTGATTTTAGATTTCTTTTTAAAAAAAAACTATGTTGGTTTCACACAATTTCTTTCTAGTGTCTAGATTCACTTAGCCAAATTTCAAAAACAAAACCAAAGTTTTTTTAAAAAGAAAAAAGAAACAGATAATATGAAAAGGGAGAAAAAACAATGAAAAGGAAGAAAAAACAATAAATAACAAAACAAACAAGAGAAGTGGAAAAAGTAATGTTTAAAAGCTTAATTTTCAAAAACAAAATGGTTATTAGATGGGCCTAAGCAATCAAGACATTGAAAATTGTAAATTCAACAAACCACAAAATATCAAAGTAGATAGGAAACATACCGAGTTGTTTTAGAATGTCGGTGAAGGTGGCCTGCATAATAGTAAAAACAAACTACAAGTCATCCATGATTGCGAAAGGTGAATGAATGACATTTAGTATCAGAACCAAGCATGAGACAATATTCTTTAAACAGGGAGAGTTTCAGAAACTACTGTTATGATGTTGGCCATTTCCACAACCCAACACATAGCAGCTAGTTGTTATGCAATCCTTATATTAATTTACTTGTCTTTCTCCAATTTCTAGATCATTCATCCTTCAAAGTCAGCAACAATTTCTACAACCGCAATTATTTCCAATATTGGCACCCATTTGTAAGCATCATCAGGTTTTTTGTGCTTTTTTCTTTTCTTTTTTTAATAACCGAGAGTCGGTGCTCCCCTATACCCGGGGAACCCGTACCTATCCCAAGGTCCAGACCTAGGAGACATCAAGAATTTTTGGTATTAAACTCACTCAAAAGTTTGATCTTGGGACCTCTAAACCAATATGACCAAGATATCCTCAGCCATTGCCAACGGATGCATCTAGAACACAAACACAAAAACCAATACAAAAGTGAATAGGCATTTACTACTCCGGGACACGGGTGTTAAAAGTCATAAAATGTACTCATTACAAGTTACTCAAGTCTGCATTAAAAACAAGAAAAAATATGTAATGGCCAAGCCATTCATGTATTTGATCGCATATAGGACACATGAGAAGAGATGAAGTAACAAGTAATCATTAATGCTCGTAAGCACGTGATTTGATAGCAGTTCTAAAACAACCAGAAGCATGAACGTAGGTATAAGCCCAACAGCCAGAAAATGATGTTTGTTACATTACAACTAGATATCAAGTATTAAAGTGAACTTGCCAACAAAACTTAGCAGCCAGTATGAATACATTGTCACTTACCGTATTGAAGTCCACTACTTTAAGAATTTCACATATTGCATCCCTAAGCTCATCATCACTTGGCCTAGTTTTCTCCTCCTTAGTCTTGTCCTTCCCTTTCACGACCTTTTTCCCTACAACATACAACAATGATACAATATTAATGCATGCAAGAAGGATACGCAGCTTCCACCACCTCTTAGACTCCCAAGCAAATGAATGTAAATCAGCAACGAGATATTACGAGAGATTAGTAATGAAGAGCACCAAATTTTTAATTTTTATATACTAGGCAAGAAAAAAGGGGAAGAAAAACAAAGTGAATGAAATATGACAGATACCAAGCTTCTCCTTAGCAGCAGATTTTGGTGGAGTTGAGGCCTTGTTTACTTTTTCGCTATTCTTCTTCCTAGAGAATACCTTTGGACTAGCCTCATTGTCGTCAATTTTACCACGACTTGATGATGACCTCTTTGTAGTCGATTTTGCTGAATCAGATTTATTGGAATTTGTAACTTTCTTGCTTCTTGCTCTCCCAACAGATTCCCTCTTTCTAGATGAACTTTTTGAACTTACTCTGGGTTTTTCTTCCTCGGATTCGTCAGTTGGTTCATTGATATCTTCACTTTCCGGGTGCTCCGACACTTCATCATCGGATTTTTCTGTGGTTCCATTCTCATTTTCTTTGTCATTTTCTTCTTCCTCTTCCTTCTCTTCTTCTGACTCATCATCTTCATCATGTGAATCCCTTGTCATCTCAGATCTTGCAGTATTTCCCCTTTTTCTACGACTCTAACGTCAATCCAGGAATAAAATAAAGTAGTTAAGCTAGCAGAAAACATATAATTGGATGACAAGAACACATACAAGGTTGGAACAGGAAGAGTGAAGTTCACTTGATTAACTCAAGCGGATTCATTATTTTTACTTCAAATTCGTACTCGGAAGTATTGACTTTCCTAAGAACCAGCATCTAAAACAAGCTTGAATGTTCTTTTAAACTTTTTCAGACTTCAGAACTAAAGCCTAGCAATTATACTCCCAGTGAAATAAGAATGTCACCTTGGCAGAATGTTTTGAACTATTGTCTCCAGTAGTTGATATTCCTCCCTTTACCACTCTTTTGCGCTTTTTACCCTTGCTTGACTGTAATTAACCACAAGAAAATTTAAGAAACTAGATTGAGATTTCGAGTAAATATATAGGAAATCAATTGATTGGGAAGATTAAGTTTTTCTGCAATAAGGGGGAAGAAAAAAAAAACCTTTTCCTTATCTGCAAGGAGAACAGTAGAAGTGGCGTGAGGAGCCACTAAGAAGTCTATGAGCTTGCCAATGATATCTTCCTGAATTCAAGTCAGAAAATCAACATCAAACCCATACAACGGGGAAGAAATTGTGTATTCTAGATTGCAAAAAGAAAAACCAAACCTTTGAGTTTCAATGATAAAAATCCCCCCAACATCCCCTTCTCCAAATATCATTTCTAAGAACCATGCCAACATAATTCCTTCCTTCTAGCAACACAAGAAAATATTTACTTCTATTTATTATAGTCTATATTATTTATCTACATTTTTTACTTTGTGACTTTAGGCACTATTTGAAAGTTGTTTTTGCACACTATTATTCGTTTCCCTTTAAAAGAAAAAAAAAATAACGAATGAAAGCATATAAGATAAGCTATTTTATAAAATGGCTGTTTTCTAAACAATAAGTCCACCACCCCCCAGGGAGGAAGGAAAAAAAAACAAAACACTATGGGTGCCGTCTTAAACTGAATGACCCCTACAACGTTCGGGCATTGGACATTAAATATCAAGGTAGGTGGATATCAAGCTTTGAGCTACAACCTAAAATAGGATAAAATAATCTAACTACTATCACTTTTTGCTTCAAAACAATCAATTTCATACAGCATGGATCTTGTAGGGGAACCAAAACAAAAAAACAAAACAAAAACCTAGCATAGTTAATAAATTACCTAATTATGAAAATACAGCATGAAAAATAAGTAATGTTGTAGTGATAGATGTCTTTGAAGTTGTTATAGCTTTAGAATTCTTATATGCGTGGGATATGTTTAAGTTGTTTCCTTTCACAGCACAGTAACTTGTAGTTACTGTTAGTTTGTTATAAATCAGAAACCTCTATAAATAGGTTCCTTATTCTCTAATAAAGGCATGATTTGAAGTTATAATGCGTTGGATCACGCAAGCCACTGGACCCCCTTCATCAGGGGCTGCATATTCAATAATGTCTTCCTGATCTTCAAGATCACTATAATTTTGTTGTTCTTCCGCAACAAGAAAGGTAATAGCTTCGCGTTGAGGACATTCATTGGAAAGGTGTCCCCATCGTCCACAATGAAAGCATTTACCCAATGTCTGCCTAGTATATGTATTTGGCTGTTTTTTACCAGCCGATGTATACGGGGCCTTGAGTTCTTGGGCAGCATCTCTATCAATCTGCTTACCTTTAGTAGAAGTAGTGTTGGTAGGTAAAGAACTTCTCTCTGTTACAGAGGAATTCTTTTTAGAAGTACCACTTTGTTACCATGTGCGGCGCAAATACTGCTTCTTATACCTATTTTTGATTTGTTCCTCAATCGTTGTAGCTGTGGAAATGGCCTCATTAATATAGCCAATCTGCTGGAGAGCAATCTGTTCTTTAATATCAGAACGTAGGCCGCCAATGAACCGAGCAACCAAGTATTGCTGATTTTCACCAAGGTTTTTCCGAGCGCCAAGTCTATGGAATTCCTCAGTATAATCAGCAATAGATCGAGTGCCTTGGGAGCAATTTTGATATTGATTGTATAAAATCTCTTCAAATTGACAGGTAGAAAGCGCTCCCTCATCAATTTCTTCATTCTTTCCCAACTACGAATTGGGCGCTTTCCATACCTTTGGTGGTTGACTTCTAGTTGATCTCACCAAGCGGAGGCGCCACCCTTATGTTTTAAGGCCACCATACATACCTTTTTATGCTCCGGTGTATTCATATAGCCGAAAATTTTTTCCAAATTTCGAACCCAATCCAAGAATCCTTCTATTTCCACCTTTCCACTGAAGCTAGGAAGGTCGATCTTTATCTTGAAATCACCTGTGTCCTGCTGTCTATTTGGACGAACCTGCAAACCACGCCTATTGTCTTCAATTTCCATCAAATATCTTTCCTCGTCACTTGAGGAATCAATGAAGGCATCTTGTCGTTGCTGAAATGGGGGATTGGTGTTGACTTCTTGATGAAGTTGGTGCTGTTCTTGGTGAATTCTTGGTCCTAGATTGAATTCTTGAACCCTTCTTGGAGGAGCTGCTAGCCTCTCTTGAATACGAATGCCTTGTAGATCATCTCTTCTTGCTTCTTGCTCAGTTCTTGTAGGAATTTGTTGAGCAATTCATGTTGGATTATGGTCTACACTCAAAGTCTTCAACGGATCTTGCTTCTTGCTCAGTTCTTGTAGGAATTTGTTGAGCAATTATTGTTGGATTTTGGTCTACACTCAAAGTCTCCAACTGTTGGTGTATAATTCCTAAGATCTATTTGATCTCACCCACATCAACTTGTATACTTTTGATATCTCCTTCGACCAACTGCAAGCGTGTGGTCATTGAACGTGGTGAGAGAACGGATGATTGATCCATTTCTTTGCCAGCTAAGGAAGAATCTCCCATGGCTGCCGGTTCTTTCCCACCATTGAGTGACCAGAAATTTGGGTGCTCTGATACCAATTTGATGCACACTTGCACAAAGGTTTGAGAAATAACTTCAAATCATGCCTTTATTAGAGAATAAGAAACCTATTTAGTCTATACAGGTTTCTGATAACAAACTAACAGTAACTACAAGTTACAGTGCTGTGAAAGGAAACAACTTAAACATACCCCCGTATATAAGAATTCTAAAGCTATAACAACTTCAAAGACATATATTACTACATCATGATATTGGCAAAATAACTGATCCAATTTGAAATAAATCTACATTATAAGGATACAAATTTCAATGAAAGTCCTAATGTTTTACTATTACGGTTTCAGGGAGTAACAGACCTACTTTTTTCAGGGAAAAAATAAAATGATGTGAACTTTTCATATTCATGATCTTTGAACTTTTTTTGAGAAACTTGTCCCAAATGCAGACCTAGGAATGCAAGTACAGTGCAACAAAGATGACCAAACAGACCTTCCTTGTGGTAGCCTTCACAACAGGTATGTCAAGCACATCACACAATTCCAATAATTTCTCTTTATTACACTTGTCAAACTTTTCTCTGACTTTATTCTTTTGTTTTTCCTGCAAAGAAAATTATGCTCCGCATGACAAAATCTCAGTAAGATAGTACCTTCACCAACAGATGATTAGACAAGCTACATGTGAAACGTTGAAATCTGAGAAATTGAAAATTCTGCTAAAGATTGTAATTCTGATAATAAGAAATTACTTCCAGATAGAAAGTAGGAACATTTCATACTGGTGGCATATACGATATTTTACCTCATCTCCATGCCACACAAAACCTGAAAACCTGGATATGTTGCTCTTAATCTGAAATGCCTGGAGGAAAGGGAGGAAAAAAACAGTGATTAGATGCAAATACTCCATAATCACATTCCTGAGAAGTCAAACCAGAGCATAAAAAACTCCAGGCAGTACTGCTAGTTAGCATTTAACAGCTAACAGTATGCATGTGTAACTTCAGGAATCACACACCACTGGACTGACGATTAACCTATGAGAAAAGCATTTAATTATAAGTTACCTTTCCTCTCCTTCCAAATAGAATTGTATGAAGCAGCCTGAAGAGGTCATCAGTCTTCTTCCTTGATAATTTGAATGCCACTACAACAAAAGGCCTTTTTTATCAGAGTTCATTTTTCCTATATATGATTCAGCATATGCATAAATAAGTAGCAACCGCAGGAAGCAAAATAACACGATGCCTTGAAACAGATAAAAATTGCACTGCTTCATTGTTTCAGTTATGTCAGATTATTGAAGCCAAAGAATCGAAGGCATAAAGGAGAAAAAAAAGGAAAAAAAAAAAGAAGTTATGCTCATACTTAAATATGAATGTTAACTTTTCTCTTTTAGTTGGTTGATAAAAAGGAAAGGAATTAAATACAATGACTTAACAATTTATTCTTCCAAAAATCCAATGCACAAAGTACAAAAACCACAGTAAACAATAAACTATCATAAACATGTTGGGGAAATTATATAAAAGCAAAATGCGATTCACAACAATAAAGTGGAAGATCATGTTAAGACGCATACACATACCATTGGGTATATCTTTGAGTGGGGTACCAGGACCCTGCAGTATCCAACAAAAAGAAATAGAATCAATCCTCCAAAAACATGCCAAATATCCAAAAAGGCCAATGAAATCCAATACCTTTTCAATATGAAATTCCTTCACAGCATATCTTTCTATAGATGCCACCAACCTTTCAACTGATTTGCGCTCACGTACAGGGCGATCAATAATGGGAGTCCTTGCCCCTGTCTCCTCCTTTTCATCCTCTTCATTCTTTTCTTTTGATCTCACTGCACCCCTTTTCTTTCTTCCTTTCTTTGCTTTCCCTTCTTTGGGATCTTTTTCCTTCAATTCCTTGTCATCCTCTTCCATATGACTATCAACCTCCTCAACCTTATCTTTGACGTCCTCATTCTCTACGTCTTTGACACCCTCATCTTCTTCATCTTTGACATCCTCATTTTCATTTTTGGAATCATCATTTTTTTCATCTTTTACATCCTCAATTTCTTCATCTTTAACATCCTCAATCTCCTCATCTTTAACATCCTCAATTTCTTCATCTTTCACATCCTCATTTTCTTCATCTTTCACATCCTCAATTTCTTCATCTTTTACATTCTCATTTTCTTCATCTTTGAAATCCACATTTTCTTCATCTTTGACATCCTCATTTTCTCCACCATTCTTATCATTTGGATTCACATCTTCCTCCATTGCCTTAACTTCAGCGTCCTCCTTTTCATCCTTCGTGTTTTCTTTGTTGATTTCCTCTTCCTTGGCCTTAGGTTCTTCTTCCATTTTCTTGACCTGAGTCTTCTCAACAGCATCCTGATCTTCCAGTTCTTTCACTCCATTTCCCTCCCCCTTAAGCACAGTTTCACTGGTTTTTTCCAGTTCACTAGTCCCATTTGTCACAGTCTCAATGGTACTTGTCATTTTATCTTCTTCGGTGGTTCCATTTGCCACAGTCTCAACAGTATTTTTCACTAGATCTTCTCCGTTGTTTCCCTTTTTCACAGTCTCAATGGTATTTGTTGATAAATCTTCTTCATTGGTTCCATCTTTTGTATTATCAATGGTATTTTTTGTTATATCTTCTTCACCCATGATCAATCTAGCTCAAATTAAATCTACAAAAAAACCCACTGTCACTTCACTTGCACATCTTTCCAGTGAATAGAACTACAAAAAAATACAAAAGTATACAATCAGTCAATGTTTTTCGATAGGAACTACAAAAAATAGAAAAGTATTAACAACCAGTCAATGTTAAATAAAAAAGAATTGATAACATGTTCAAAAGAAAATGTACTATGGAAAGTAAACCTAAAATATGAATCCTGTTTTCAAGAACTAATGCTACTACTATAATGACACATAACTCTTCATTATAATCCTCAAAACAAAGGTCAAGAGAGAAGGGAAAAGTCGGTAATTTGGAGTACCAATAGGCTTGCTCGTAGGAGAGCAACTACTTCAAAAGAAAGTGCCGCAGGAGAATATCACAATTTTTAAGGTACTTAATGCCTCAAGGCTCAATCTCAACATACTGACTAAAACATTAACATTTTTTTTATGGAAATGCTATAGAATGGAAGAGGAAGCTAAGTCGCAATGAACACAAATTTCAAAAACCAGAAATAATTTGAAATTTCACTTTTGTCTGGAATGAGATAGGTTTGCTATGAATGAATCTCAAATTTCATGTTTGGGTGTGAACTAGAAGTTAAAGTAAAATGAGCATGTTCAAAAAAATTTACTGTGATACTCTAAATATAAAGGAGAACTTGAAAGGTTTGATGCGACAATATATTTCTTTTTAAATTGAATTTCCACAAAATTCAACCATTTTAGAATAAAATTTTGGTTAAATTACCAATTCGGTACATATAGTTTTAATGTTTCAACTTGGCCATGTGGTTTGGATAAATCATCTGATTACATACCAGGGCATATTGAATTTGTGACATTTTTTTATTTACGTGGCAATAAGCTTGTGTCTTTTATTTGGCTAATAGTGTTAGTTGACTATAATTGGATATAGAGCTGAGCAGAAAATGGTGGGTTTTGATATGGGTAAAAAATGGTTGATGTGGTTTAGAGACGATTGGTGAAGTTTAGCCAAACCATAGAGACCAAAATGAAACTTTTATAAATGGTACCAATTTGGTAATTCAATCGAAAATTTTGTATACGTGAAAGCAAAATCTAAAGTCACCGTTGCATCCATACAATTTTAACTTAAAAATCACAAAGAATTCACTTCAAATCTAACATTAAAACTAAAGGAATAAACTTCAGATCTGTTACTATTTGAATCTTTTGAAATTCTTCAGAAATGCACAGAAAATTTAAGAATAGACAGTAACACAAACTCGAAGCAAGTAAGACAAAAACAGTAACACACACACTTTCAGGAAAAACGCAAAACAAAACAGAACACTATACGCAGCAATTGTATAACTACTTAAAATCCTCAATTCAAGTAAGAAATGTCAACAGTGTGAGTAAATGAAATGTACAATGCATGACATTCAATTCACAAGAAACTCTCCATTTGAGCCTGAGAAAAAAAAAATTAAAATAAAATTCAGCACAAAGAATTTCCCCAGAATTTCATATAGATCAGTAGTTGAATAAGCTCTCGCGCATGGAGAGCAAACCCAGAATAGCTTTCACAGTCCGCTACAAATCTCCCTCCAAAAAAGAACAAGTCCGAAAAGAAAAACACAGTAAAAATCACTCGAAAGCCAAGAAGAAAACACCAAATTAGCAGAGGGAACATCTGAAACCCTAATCCCTGTGCATCCCAGAACATTCCAAACCAACAAACGCGCAAAATTGTGAAGTTTGAGGCAAGATTAAAGCCCTAAAGGAGGAGAGAACAAGCTGAAACTCACAGAATTTGAAAGCTTCGCTTAGCGATTCGGGGCTCGAACAGAAAGTCGTCGGATTTCTACTGTCTCACTTTCAATAAAAATTTGCCTGCTCGGATATTTTATACTTCGGACGTCAAATCCGGAATTTAGAAGTAGTTAAATGCCACGTCGGAGACTTTTGTCAGCTGACGTGTATGTAAATTTTTTGAGAAAGGGGGGAATTGACGGCTGGGATGGGGTTTAAATGGCATCGCGAAATTGGACGGCTTGGATCTGAAATTCGCTTGTTCTTCGGGGATCACAGGGCCCACACACAACACTGGCCATTTTGGTAAGAAATTTAGACGACGAAGGCTTGTATTTGTGACGTGGCGGAAAGCTAACCGTTGAAACGGTTCTGGTGTCTTTTTTTATTTAGTTGCATTACATGTAAAATAAAAATTTTATGTTTCAAATCATTTTTAATGGGATATATTATATTTTTAGTATAATGTTTCTTTTCTTTTTGTAATGTGTGTTACTTTAAATCAAAATGTTAAAACTTTATTTCAAACTCAAAATTGAAGAATTAAAGGAATATTTGATAAGGTTTTGGTTTCTGTTTTTTTAGTTTTCCATTTTTAAAAATTACAAAGGTGGTATTTTTATAATACAATTTGTTTTTAATTGAAACCTTAACTAAATTTTGAAAATAATTTTTGTTTTAGAAACTTGCCTATTAAAAATTGAAAAAATCATGCTCATCCACTAACTATTTTATTTTTCATGTATATTGTATAAAGTTATATTTTTATTTTTTAAATTTGACTAATAATTTAAATATGTGTCTATAAGGGTGGAAGTTTCACTATAAAATTTAGTAAGAAACCAACATAATTTTTAAAAACATAAAATTTTATCCAATGAAACATAAGCAAATAAAAATTGAGAATAAAAGCATTTGTAAGCTTAATTTTTAAAAGTTAAAAAAAAATTTATTACTGGATAACTATTTTGTTTTCTATATTTAATTTTTAGTTATTAAGAAATAAAGTTTTTGTGTAACTAATTCATGAACAGGCTCCTTGGATCTAGTAGAATAGGTGGTATATATGTCACAGTTCATTTATGTTTTATCTATTTCACCTACTTAATATCATGAAAATACATTCATTTCCTCTACATTGACGTGATTTATAATACTATCAAAGAGAAACAACAGGTATAAAGAAAAGTACAAGCTTACTCTATTAGTAACAAGTAAATTCTTTAGAGGTAAAATATGTCTAAATATTTTTTGGGAATGTCAATCAATCTAGTTCATCTATCTCTAATAAAAAAATTTGTATGTTCAAACTCCAACCTCCATTTATTGTACAATAAACTTTTTTAATATAATATAATATATATATATATATATATATATATATATATATATTTTAAAGAGCAAGCTCTTATTAGTAGATTATAGAATAATATTTTTTATTTTTTATTTTTTTTCCCATGGGATGGCTCAAGTGGTCAATAAGGGTTTTTGTAAATAATAAAGGACTTAGAGGGAATGAGTTCAAACCACCAAATAGTGGCAAATATATATTTACTTTTTTTATAGGTGTTTCAATTATCAGATTAGTTAGCCTGTACCTCTCACAATAAATGGATTGGTCTTAGGTTCCTTCCACCATCCTACACAATGAATTTGAAAAGAGTTGTCGATAATTTTTAATTTATTTATACTTTTTAAATCTCACTTTTTTTTTTCTTACTTTAACAATAGAATGGCGATTCCAACATCATAACTTCGAAAATATGTGTTCCACCACTATATTTCTCTCTAAAATTTAAAATTTATGTCTATCTCTAATCCTGATCTCGCCTTATCATTTTTCTTTTATTCACCCTAACTTCTCCTTAAAAGTTCACTCTGGAACATATCTTCCTATAATTTTGTTTTTGTCTCTCTCCCCAACTTCTTCATCATCTTTGTCAATTTATAATGTTGTATTAATAAATAACAATAATATAATATTTTAATATTAAACAGTAATGTCAACTTTTATCAAATTGTTTAATCAAATTAATTTAATAAATTAGAACTTGCAAACAAACTAAAAACAAAAAACAAGAAAAAAAAATTTGTAAATATCTCGCTTGAAATATATATTATCTAAAAATTTAAAGTCGAATTATTTTAAATGTGAATCAAAATAATTCATACGTTTATTATAACTAAACAAACTTAAACGGTAATCCAACTTTCCCTCATCCAACTTTTCGTCATCTTTGTCAATTTATTTTCTTTTTCATTCTCGCACGCTACTTCATATTTTTCTTTTCAAAACAATACTTCAACTAATAAAATATAAAAGAAAAGAAAAAGCCAAAATAGTTAAAAAAAAACAAAGAGAGATTTTAAACTACTGATCTCTTTGCAAATCTATTTGGAACGGAAATTTTTTTAATCAAATTAGTGCCATAAAAATTGAAATAAAAAGAATTGATCGAAGACATACAGCAAAATAGAAAATCAAGTTGTATTTTGATTGGATGATGACTCAAAAACATGTCGATAGAAGGGAGGCAAAAGATAAAACCACTGTACTATGCATTTTGGCTAACAAAATACAATAATTTTATGGGTTAAATCTGGAGTGGTGGGAGTAAATTTAAAAAATGAAATATCTATTTTTTTTCTTATAAACTAAAGTAAATTTAGAATTTTTTACCTTTTAATTTAAAATCCTTTCAAATACGACCTATTTGGAACAATTTTTCTTTTTAACAAAGCATGATTTTAAATTCTTTATTTTTCTTTATCAACCAAACAGCAGAAATGATTTTAAAATCATTATAATTTGTAAATCAGAGGTTTCAAACAGGGTTATCTTATAAGTCTAACAAATATCTCACTATCCATACTGTGAATTTATGGCTCATTCTTTTTATAACTAATCAGTAAATGTTGAGCTGACACGTGTTATTTATTGTTATTGTATTTATTGAATGCGCACTGTACATGACATGTGTGAATTAGTTATTTTGAGAGTGGGGAATATTATTATTTGTTGTAAATAAAAGGGGGGCAAGAGAGCGAGTCCAGACGCTTTTTTTTCTTCTCTTTGAAAATTATGCTTGAGAGGTTGCTGGTGAGCATTTTGTGAAGGATACCGATCTTCTCAGAATATTGCTTGTATTTTTTATTCTCATACTTGGTGAATGAAGTGTTGATGGGTGCTATTGTGAAGTGGAGGTAGGTTACCACATTGGTATCCGAACCACTATAATTTCTGGGTTTTCTCTTCTTCTTTTACTTTATATTTCTTGTATTTAGCCGTGGTATTGATGCTTTGATGTTATTTGCTTTGATTATTCGTTAATCTTCGTCACAAATTGGTATCAGAGCTTGACGGTGATTGCTAATTGAATTTTGTTTTCATCGAATTCTGAGGTATGACGTCCACTTGGTTTGAGGTGAAAAAATTCAATGGCAAATGGGATTTCTCTATGTGGAAGAAGAAGATCAAAGCATCGTTGGTTCAGCAAAAGGTAGCTCCAGCAATCGGCAAAGAATCAGAGTATCCAAAAAGCTGGAAAGAAGAAATATGGAGGGAGAAGCTTGATACCGCATTCAGCACTGTTATTTTGCACTTAGTTGATAATGTGCTAAGGCAAGTAGATGGAGAAGAATCGGCTGCAGCAATCTGGACCAAGCTGGACAAACGGTACATTTCTCAATCCCTTTCTAATAAAATTTATCTTACAGAGCGTTTATTCGGTTTTAAGATGGATATGAACAAGAATCTAGAAGAGAATCTGGATGATTTTATGAAAATAACATTGAGCCTAGCTAATACTGGTGAAAAGATTAGTGATGAAAATCAGGCTATAATTCTCCTTAATTCTATGCCAGAAACATACAGAGAGGTTAAATCAGCCATTAAATATGGTAGAACATCGCTCACTGTAGATGAAGTTCTAGAAGCACTTAAAACTAGAGATTTAGAGATTAAAACAGAGAAGAAATCAAACGGGAATGGGGAAAGCCTGAATGTTAGAGGTAGAATGGATAAGAAAGATACCATATATAAAGGAAAGGGGAGGTCCAAATCACATAATAGTGGAAGAGTTCTTAAATGTTTTCATTGTCACAAAGAGGGACACTTTAAAAGGAATTGTACTGAGAGAAAACAATTAAGAAAAGAAAGAGAAAAGACAGATCCTGAAGTTGCTGTTGCTGAAGAAGAATATGACAGTGCTTATGTGTTGGTAGTAGCCACAAAAACAATTGAAAAGCAATGGATCCTAGACTCTGGTTGCACCTTTCATATGACTCCAAATAGAAGCTAGTTTGAAACTTATAAAGAGGTGGAAATTGGACAAGTATTATTGGGAAATAATAAAACCTGCAAAGTAATTGGAATTGGAACTGTTAATTAAAACCCATGATGGGCTTGAAAGAATTCTAGATGAAGTTAGACACATTCGAGACTTAAAAAGGAACTTAATCTCTTTGGGCACCTTAGATCAAAAGGGTTATGTTTTCAAAGCTGAATGAGGGGTATTAAAAATTATTAAAGGATCTTTAGTTGTAATGAAAGGAAACAAAGAAAATGGATTGTATTTTATGGAGGGAGCTACTATAATTGGCTCTGCTGCTCAAATAACAGCTTCTAAGATTTGTGATTGCCATTTATGGCATCAAATATTAGCACACATAAGTGAAGGGGGAATTCAAGCTCTTTATAAACAAAATCTGCTTGGTGAAGGCCAATTGAATGACTTGAATTTCTGTGAAGTGTGTGTTTTGGGCAAAGCAACACGTTTAAAGTTCAAGAGATCCGAAAACAAAACTAAAGAGAATTTAAGCTACATCCATTCTGATTTGTGGGGGCCAGCCAAAGTTGAATCTAAGGGAGGAGCGAAGTACTTTATTACCTTCATTGATGATCATTCAAGGAAGGTATGGGTATATACTCTTAAATCCAAAGACCAAGCATTCTAAAAGTTTAAGGACTGGAAGAAAATGGTTGAGAATCAGACTGGTAGAACCATTAAGAAACTAAGAACTGGTAATGGCCTTGAATATCTCAATGAACAATTCAATAGTTATTGTGTAAGAGAGGGAATAGTAATGCATAAATCAGTGAGAAAGACTCCACAACAAAATAGATTAGCCGAGAGGATGAATCGAACTCTTCTTGAAAGTGTTAGATGTATGTTGTTTAGTGCCAACCTTCATCGAAGATTTTTGGGAGAAGCAGTTACTACTGTTGCCTACTTGATAAACAGATCACCATCAACCGCTATTGATCTAAAAACACCTGAAGAAGTGTGGTCTGGTACAACACCTAAGCATGATAACTTGAGAGTATTTGGTTGTGTGGCATACGCTTAAACAAAAGAAAGGAAACTTGAACCAAGAGCAATTAAAAGGTATGTTTCTAGGATATCCAGAAGTTGTAAAGGGTTATAAATTGTGGATATCATAAAGAAACACATCAAAGTGTATAATCAGTCGTGATGTAATTTTCAGGGAATAAGAAATGTTCGTGAAAAAGATGGGAAATAATGGAAGCAGCAATACAAATCAGGACAACTCTAGTCAATTAAAGGAAATTGAAATTGAGGTGGAGCAACCTGAAAGTTCAGCAAACAATGTTACTGAACAGACCATGGATGAGTTGTTGAGCCAAGAAACACATCAAGATATGAGTCGCGAAAGAGACTCCTCATATCAATTAACTAAAGACAGAGCAAGAAGAAAGATTAAACCTCCAATTAGATATGGACATGCAGACTTAATCTCTTATGCTCTGTCAGTAGCTGAAAAAGAAATTTTTGATGAACCTAGAAGTCTCAAGGAAGCACTAGCAAGTAATGAAAGAGATCAGTGGTTAAAATCCATGGAAAGTGAACTAAATTCACTAAAGAAAAATAATACATGGATTTTGGTGGATAGACCAGTGGGCCAGAGATTTGTGGGGAATAAATGAATATTTAAAAAGAAAGGAACTGCTTGAGAAACCACAAAGCTGGAAGTTCAAAGCAAGATTAGTGGCAAAGGGGTTTACCCAAAGAGAGGGAATTGATTTTAATGAAATTTACTTTCTGGTGGTAAGACATACGTCCATTCGAATTCTCCTCTCGTTAGTCACACAATATAATATGGATTTAGAGCAGTTAGATGTTGCAACTGCTTTTCTTCATGGCACACTAGAAGAGAGAATACTAATGGAACAACCAGAAGGTTTTGTACAAGAATGGATAGAAGATAAAGTTTGCATGTTGAAGAAATCATTGTACGGTTTAAAGCAGTCTCTGAGGCAGTGGTATTGCAAATTTGATGAATTCATGATGAGGAATGAATATCAGAGAAGTAGTTTTGACTCTTGTGTTTATTTCAAAATGTGAAAAAAGGTATAGTTACATACTTACTTTTGTATGTAGATGATATGCTAATAGCATCTTGTGACAAAAAGGAAATAGATGTTTTGAAATCGAAACTAGACTCTGAGTTTGAAATGAAGCACCTTGGAAATGCTAAGAAGATGCTTGATATAGAAATACCGAGGAACAAAAATGATGGCACACTTTTCTTGAATCAGAGAAGTTATATTCGAAAAATCCTAGAGAAGTTCAGGATGAATCAAGCAAAAGGGGCGACTACTCCAATGGATTCACACTTCAAACTCTCAGTTGCTTTCTCCCCATCTGAAGCTAAAGAACAAGAAAAAATGGAAAACATTCTATATTTCAATGTAGTTGGAAGCATAATGTACTGTATGGTCTGCACCAGACCAGATTTGACATATTCAGCTAGTATGGTCAGTAGGTACATGGCTAACCCAGGAAAAATGCATTGGTATGCAGCAAAGTGGATATTGAGGTACTTAAAACAAACTAAAAGAGTTGGATTACTCTTTACAAAGACAGAGTTAGCAGATGAGGCATTAGTAGGATATGTTGATTTAGATTTTGCTAGAGATCTGGACAAAAGAAGATCATTAACAGGCTATATATTCACTTTGTATGGAAATGTTATGAGCTGGAAAGCATCTTTACAACATGTTGTTGCCCTATCCTCAACAGAAGCTGAATATATAGCATTGACAGATGCAGTAAAAAAGCTATGTGGATCAAGGGAATTATAAATGAATTGGGAATTGAACAAGAACAAGTAAAGGTTCATTGTGACAACCAAAGTGCCATTAATCTCTCAAAGAATTAGATGTATCAAGAGAGGACCAAACATATAGATGTTAAACTTCACTTCATAAGAGCAGTTACATCCAAAGGCACTGTGAAGGTTGAAAAGATACACACATCAGAAAACCCAGCTGATATACTCACAAAATAGTCAAAGTCAAGAAACTCAAGGATCAACTTGAAAATACCAAAGTGATTGATTTTGATCCTACTTGAAGCAAGTCAAGTGAAATGAAGACAACAATAGCCCAAATCAGTAGAGAATGAACCAAGGTGGGGATTTGTGAATTTATGGCTCACTCTCTATAATTAATCAGTAAATGTTGAGCTGACATGTGTTATTTATTGTATTTGTTGAATACGCACTATTCTCAAGCAAATTTGTTGTAAATAAAAGGGGGGCAAGAGAGAGTGTCCATGAGCTTTTTTTTCTTCTCTTTGAAAATTAGGCTCGAGAGGTTGCTGGTGAGCTTTTTGTGAAGGATACCAATCTTCTCAGAATATTGCTTGTATTTTCAATTCTCATACTTGGTGAATGAAGTGTTGACAGGTCCTGTTGTGAAGTGGATGTAGGTTACCACATTGGTATCCGAACCACTATAATTTCTGGGTTTTCTCTTCTTCTTTTACTCTATATTTCTTGTATTTAGTCGTGGTATTGTCGCTTTGATGTTATTTGCTTTGATTTTTCGTTAATCTTCGTCACACATATTTGGGTTAAAAATACATTTAGTCCCTATACTTTCACTAAAGTAACGATTTAGTCCCTGAACTTTCAAAAGTAACGATTTGGTCCCTATACTTTAAAATCGATTACAATTTAGTCCTAACCATAAAAGTTAAGCTAGATTTAAGAAAAATTTGACATGGTTGCCAACTAGGATATACATGTGTACAAATTAAAAGGCCACGTGTGCAGATTTGTGGGTCGGTTCAAATTTAGTTTAGGGCTTAGAAAAAAAAAAGAAAAAAAGAAATCTCATCCTTGATCCTCGCATTGATTTCCTCTCTCCTCTCTCCTATCTATAGTTAGTCCACCATGGAGAAGAGGCTAAAGAAACTGTCGAATCCGCCGTTCGGGAAAGCCCCCTCCGACGTTGAGCGTTGGCTGTGCCTCACCACAAGGAGGCTGAGCTACAGCTTTGCAACTGCGGCGTTTGTGTGTGTGGTGATATGATAGGTCTTCTGGTGGCAGCGGCAGGCGTCAAGGTGATAGCAATGAAGTATCGAATCGAAGAGTCGATGGAATTGGGGGAAGTTGAACTTTGACCACATGCAGACGCGTCCTAGGGTTGTGTTTAAAAAATTGCAAATGAAAGTTGTATGAAACTACACAATTTCATTTATTTATTTTTTCTTCCTTTTTTTCTAAGCTCCAAACTAAATTTGAACGACCCATAAATCGGGAAAATTTCTAGCCCTACGGTCAGTGGTAGATCCAGGATTTCATGTTAGGGGGGCACAAATACAAATAAACACAATGAAAAAAAATATCCAACTTAGCAATGTGTATCAATTTTGCATCTTACATTTGGATAAGTGTGGTAATTTTTATATGTGTCACAAATTTTACTATTCGATAGATTTCATTTGAAAAATTGTTGAAAACAATATTCTTAGGTGTAAAATGAGTTAGAAAAAATATATATATTTTTTATGAAAAATTGATAGGATTTAGACAAAAATAGCATTAGAGTGTTTCTTTTAAAACTTATTTTTAAGTTTTCACAAAGTTATTTAGCGGTAGATTTTGTCATTTTGTGTATTGATCAAACTTAATTTTCATTTTGTGTATTGATCAAACTTCATTTGAGAAAATTGATTTTTATGAATTAGTGAGTTTTTATTAAATAGAGGGGTAAAAATTATGATATTTATCTAAGTTTAGGGTATGAATTTAAATTTATTATAAGAAACATGTTTCGGGATATAAACAAAATAACACATATTTTATAAAAGAAATTTAATTAGACATAAAAGTTAATATATTTTATTTTAAATGAAAAGATGAGAAAGAACTTGTCCTTACTCCCTAAAGAATTCACTAAAGTAGGCTAGTTTAAAATTGATGACAATAAAAATATATTAACTAAAATAGATTGAAGTTGAGGCTAAAAATAAAAATATATTTGAAAAAAATCAATAAAAATATATTTAGAGAAAGCTCAATAGAAATATATTTAAAAACTACAGCAAAGCACTAGGCCAACATGGTGTTATGGAAAATAATTACTTGCTATATTATATTTATTTTAAATCTAGGGGCATGTGCCCCTAGTCCCTACCTACATCTGTCACTGCCTCCAGTAGTATAGAAATCTTTTATACTACTTCCATACATTTTACGTCACGTGTCATCTATATTGTTACACAAATAAAATGGACCCTACAAGATTTCAAAAGATATCTCTCTCTTTTTTCCTTTTTTTTTGAGATATTCTTTCCCTCGTAAATGACATTCTCTCTTCCCTAATATTATCTATACTTTCAAGATTAGACATTTTATTTTATTTTTAATTTCATTTTTTTATCTTCTATATTTTTCATTTGAATATTCTTACAACGATTCTTTTTATTTGTAATTATTTCAAATAATTAAATAGTTATTTTTCTCATTATAATAATTTTACAATTTGATTTTATTTATTAACCATTTTGATATATTATTTGACTTATTTTGCCCTGTTTAATCAATATTATAATTAGATTTTATTTGTTACACATTTAAATACGTTTTTTTTATTTGTTATCTTATTTTAAAATAATTAAATAACTGTTTTGTTCTATTTGAAATATTATATTTAAATTTTATTAATTTCTTTTCTCTATATGCATGAAGAAATTGTAGGCATCATTATATAAAAAGGAAAAGTTAAAAATCGCCTTTGTTTTTAGTACAACATATGGGGGTGGGGAATCGAACTCACAACCTCGAGATATATGCCAATTACCGGTGAGCTATGTTCACTTTGACAATTAGATACTTAATATAACTATAAATTAAGGCATCATATTTTTTTGCGAATAATAAGACAACATTTCGTAAAAAAAAAACTTTAAATGTGAAAATGAAAAATACAATTTTAATCTCATATATCATATCTCCAGATCAAAATCATTTGATTTCAGTCGTCTCGCTTCTCGTTTTCTTTTGAAGTTGTGTTTGCTTGAGTGAATTGGTAACCATTATAATTTGGAGGATGTTAGTTGGGAATCCAATTTGAATAAAACACGTACATATATCTAATAACCAAACATCAATGATAAATTTAACTACATTAAAAAATACATTAGGAACTTGTTTGAAAATTCAATGTTATTGAATTATGTAATAAGATACTTGGCTGAATGGGAGCATTGGCAAACCAGTACTATAAAATGATATATTCTGAGTATACATTTGCTACATAAGAAGTTGAGCATCCAAATGCAAAATCAGAATTCGTCACCGTGACATTTGACAACTTAGAATTTCCATCTAAAAAAATAGGATTCATAGAAATCAATATAAAACTTGTAAAATATCATTGAGAACATAAGGAAATTGACAAGGTTACAAAACAATTAAAAATATATATATAAAACTAACAACAGTCAATTACTATCTTCGAAGGTTGATCTTCAACAGTTAGTGCCTTTTTCTTGCGTTTCTTCTCAAGTTGACTTTTTACTCTAACGTTTCTTATTTGTTTCGTTCTTCCATGAGGAGAGATTCAAAACATGAGATGACTTTGATAAACGAGTTCTACTTCCAATATATATATTTTTTTGTCGTTGGTTCCAACATCTTTAACTACATGAGCACCATTATTCCTTTAAACTATTTTCGATACTTTTAGAACTTTTATCCAAAAGTTCTTCCGCTATTTTAGCCGTCTCATCTGTCAAGATGCCTTTAATAGCAAAATGATGGCTTTCTGCATAATTTTGTTCACCTTAGAATTTCCTTTGGTTGTTCTGTTAACTACTTCTTCATCATCATTATTTCTCCCTAATTCATTCTTTGTATATTTTGTCCATCTCCTTAGAATATATCGAGGAGGAATAGAAAAAATATTGTGAAAATTTAGAACTCTTAATGTGTAGTTTGACTAGATTGGAAATCTTTAATCAATTCACATCGACGAATACTGTCTAACACCTTTTCATAACTGTAGGATTTATTAAAATCCAAAATCCAAATTCAATTTGAATTTGAAATGGGGGAGTAGTTATGTAACTGCTCCTTCCCCTAAAATCTCTCATCTCTCTCTCACTGTATCAATGTGTGTGTGTGATACGTKTGTGTGAGAGGGTCTCTGAGAAAAAGCCACACAAAGGGAATTTGGTTGAAAGATTCATTCTACCCGTAAGAACACAGAGTTCTACTGTCTAAAATTTTTCACCACTTGAAGAATTCAGGCTAAGAAACGTGAGATTTTTCCATTTGTGATTGATCTCCGACTGCGACTTGATTTTCGTGGATTCCGCTGCGACACTACAAAAGGTTAGTATCCTATCCCACGAAAAACCAAACATTGTCATTTACAGCCAGGTTTGACTTAAAACTTGGACTTTCCTGTAACACTGTAACAACATACTTAATTTCATATCGATCCTTGTCAAAGCATGACTTAAAATTATTTGGACCGTGTTTTGGTGTTATTTTTGAAGACGATCGTGATGCATGTATTTTTGTACTAGAGATTAATTTCCGGTTTAGTTTTGGTGATTTTCATTCTCTTTGAGTTTTTTTTTGAAAGCATGCTGTTACTTTCGCTTCCAATCCAATTTCTGTGTGGTGATCATTTTTGTATATACTTTGCATATCTAGAAAGTAAGTTTGAAGAGCTTTCCAACGATATATGATATGCAATTTTTCGTTGAGTATATAATTAATTATGAATTTTTTAAGGTTTCATGAAGAACTTGCTTAATCTAGAATTACGAGTGTTTGTGGCACTGCTGACCTAACTAAAAAAAAAGGGAAGGTACGCCACGATGTGATTTCGAGCCTAACCACCTTTACAAATCACCTTATTGTTACATGGTTTTCCGTTTTAATACTTAAACACAATTTGTAATTATTTTTATTTTCTTGGTGATTTTGTCCTATTTTTTTGGTGTCTCATAATTACCTTCGTGTATTTTTCTGTATTTGTTACAGAAAATATGTCAAGGATGATAAAGACACCAAAGGTCCCTAAGACAAAAGTTAAGAGGTCTGTAGTGAATAAGATAACAGAAGACTTATCCCTTATAAATTTGAAACCAGGTCACGAATTGAATTTAATATACTTAGTTCAGTATATAATCCAAGTTAATAATTAGCTTCAAATGATTATTTGGGAATGAGGTTTACTGCTAGATGATCAAAGACAGAGTGTCTTAAGATCACTCTTATCTCTCGAGTGACTTAAGACCTTCTTAGATAATGTCTGGAGTCGACATAGTGGAGATGACCTATACAAAATATTAGCCAAAGCTTTTTTCTATGAGATCAGTATACGAGCTGCTTTGGATAGGCAGAAGACCTCAGTTTATGGAGAAATGATCTGTTTCAACCGAAACAAACGTGGAGTGGTTGTTTGCAACCACAGAATTCCAATAGGTCTTTATGAAATTTTAAAAAAATTCATTTCCTGTTCGTCAGATGCAATTGTAAATGTTTTCATGTACATGTTTATGTATGTATTTTGTTTATATACATACAAAATGAAAAATTGTGCCTGTTTTCGGGTTTTTACTATGAGCATTTGAATGATGATTGTATTTCATTATTCTCGTACATTTTTTTTGGGTAAAATATTTGTTTACTTTATAATGTGATAAGTTTGTCTATAATTATTTGGTTTAAACATTGACGATGATTTGGAAACTTTATGAAATTTCGACTTGACGTTGAACAAAATAATTATGAAGTGAAAAAAAAAAGACTAAGATTATGAGATGATAATGGCGACAAGGGTAGAAAGTAAGTGAAAAAAAAACACTAAGAAGTCAAGAAAATATGAAAACTTGAAAAGAGTTGAAGGAGAAAAAAATTAAGGAAGAAGAAGGGTAGTGAGAAAGAAGAATGGTTGAGGAAGAAGAATAGAATGAGAAGAGTTTAGATTGAAATTGAGAAAGAAGAGTTGAGATCGAGAGAGAAATAAGAGTTGAGATTGAGAGAGAAAGAAGGAAAGAGATTAGAAAATAGAAGGTGAAAGAAAGAAGCACAAGTAAAAACCCTAATTCCAAATTCCAAGGACACTCCATTTTAAAATAAATTATAAAATAAAATTATTTATTTCTAAAAAAAATAAATAAACAAATACGAAATTAAAAATTGAAAGAAAGAATATACTTATATTATTTAAAAATTAAAAGTAAAAAAAAGGTACACCACTTTAATGCCTTGGCTGGTGTGTACATTGCTCTCAATGCAGTGCAGCTAGCCTGGTAGGCTGATGCATCTCAGATGCGTCAGATTTTACTTTTTTTTTTCTTTAATTATTAAGTATATATAAAAT